GGCCTTAGGAGTACAGTTGGCACCCGTGGGGATCCACAAACAGTGTAAAATATCAAAATAATTTTTACCTATTACAGGGATACTCGGCCAGGGTACTCTTACAACAGGCTGTAGTGTTTACGATGCTTGTAATAACCCTTTAGGGTGTTCAGAATGTAGAAACGTAGAAAGTTTCCCTTTCTGAAAATTGTTTGAAACAGTGAACCCAGAAAAAAAACATAGCAGTGAAATCGCAAATAAAAAAAACAAGAATATTGAACTAATACAGGTGATACTCGAAAAATTGTGGATTTGGGGTTTTCATGAGCTGTAAGCCATAATCATCGCACTTATGACAAATCACGGCTTGAACTATCTTGCTTTGCATGTAATGCGTCTATCTCATATATTAGTTTCCCCTTTTACGTTGCATTACTGAAATAAATGAACTTTTGCACGATATTTTAATTTTTCGAGTATCACCTGTATATACATAGTTAACATGCTCTGCCCTCCATGACAATAGTAATTTAGTGAGCTGACAGATTCTTTGCCAGAAACAAGGAATTAGCAGAGTTACAGGAGATATAGCTACAAGATCTGGAGGGTCCTTCACAACTTCTCTTCTGTTTTTTGGTGCTAATCCATTTTGACGCGGTACTTTGAGTTTGATCCATTTTGTTCTAGCATAGCAGAAACATTCCAGGTTATTCACTACCTGAGAAGTGGCAGGAATTCTTATAGAATTCAGAGTAAATTTCATGGGTAAGGCCGTAATATCCAAAATTAAAAAATATCCAAATCAGCTATGCTTTTAGTTTGGCTATAAATTTAAAATTCACTTTGATTTCTCGACAGTTCTTACTTTTATTTCTTGCTGGTCTAAAACATTTTAATGAGAAGATTCTGCTTCGACAGAAAAAAAATCCCAGAAAAAAAGTCTGAACCCAGACAGTGACATGTCTTTCTATTAATTGTGCTAATCAGTCCCTGAATCGTACAGTAGCCATGTTCCCAGCTTTCCCAGAATTAAGGCAGATATTTTCTGTATCCATGCAAAGTGTCAAAGTGGACATGCAGTGCAAAATTATTTCACTGTAATGGAAGTGTTTTTAATTGGCAGATAAAAGGTACAGGATGTGTGCACCAAAACTACTACATTAAATGAAGTGGTTGTGGTGCTTAGACTGTCTGTTTAATCTGTACATTAATTGGATTTTACAGGTGATTTCATTAGCACAAGGTATAGATTGCATTTTATAACTCACCCAAACGGATCTGTTTAATGCCAATTTCTCCTCTGGAGATTGTGTTTTAATTACAAAAACAACAACTCAACACTCAATATTTATTCCCCGATTATTCTGTTGCTATGTCGATATGAGCAGATACAATCTGGGTTAGCTGCAGTTTATTTTGTTGCCAGTTACTATCAACTAATTATAACTGAGTCACATCATATCAGTTACTGAGTAAACAAAATTCATTATTTTCTATCGCTGGTGCAAGCTAAGATTTTTCATATAGATACGGATAATTAATGTATTAATTACAGTCTTCACAAAAGTACATTATGTCATTTTATACACTACCGATCAGGGCTGGGCGTTCTGGCTGACTGACTTGTCTTTCCTGTTTTTTTGGTCTGTATATTTTTTGGAACATTCTTTTGATTGTAAACACTGCGCCATTTTATAGAATCCTGCATGTGAATCGGATATTATTTTGAGTCTCCTCGGCAGCCTTAAAGTCAGAGATGAACAAAAACTAATATTTAAACTGGTTTTAGCAGCTTTTAGGTCGTTTTAACAAAATTTGAATAAATTATCCAATAGCATTTTTTGTCTCCAATGTAACACTAAGCACCAGTTGTAAATTATGTCACAGGGGTCAAAAATAAAAAAAAGTCTTAGTTTTTAAATACAGGATTTTAAAGTTAATTGTAGATGTATGTGGCATTCTGTACTTTACCATACCTCTATCTGGTGGTAAGAATATAAAAAGAAAGATATATAAAGAAAAGAAAGAGAAAAGGATAGAAAGAGGGAATAAACTATTTACTGTACTTAATTGTTTTGTGTATGTTGGTTTGAATGTGTTTAGTTATGGAAGGATTATTGTATTTATGTTGTCTTTTTCTTTGTTTCACGAATTTAGATGGATTTATATACATAGAAATATATATGTGTATACGTATGTATGTGTATATTTTTTTTTTCCTCTTCCTCTCGCTATTTAAACTGTTAACCAGGCAAATAGTATTAGCCTCACAAATACGGTAATATTCATAATTGGATAAGGCTACATTTGCATGATAACTAGGTATATGTTATAGTAAAACAATGGAAATAGGAAGGGAGGGAAGGGAGAGGGATAGAAAGGGAACAGATACAATATTCATGATGACAAATATACCAAAGCCTTAAATAAAGAAGCACTATAAACTTTTCTTGTCTGAAAAAATAAATAAATATATATATATATAAAATGGCTAATATTATACCGTCCAACATTTCAAATGGACAAAGAGGGACACCTTAATTGTAGGAGTGAGAGTGGGGGTGAAGGTAGGGGCGGGATTTTCTGAGAAATTTTGAAGGACCACTATAGTGCCAGGAAAACATACTTGTTTTCCTGGCACTATAGTGCCCTCAGGGTCCCACTCCCGCCAGGCTGGATGGAGAGGAAGGGGTTAAACACTCACCTTTTTCCAGTGCCGGGCTCCCTCGGCGCTGGGGAATCTCCTCCTTCTTCTGCCGTCATCAGCTGAATGCGCATGCGTGGCAAGAGCCGCGTGCGCATTCAGCCAGTCTCATAGGAACGCATTCTCAATGTTTTCCTATGGACGCTGGCGTCTTCTCACTGTGAAAATCACAGTGAGAAGCGCGGAGGCACCTCTAGCGGCTGTCAATGAGACAGCCACTAGAGGCTGGATTAACCCTAAAGTAAACATAGCCGTTTCTCTGAAACGGCTATGTTTACAGCAGAAAGGGTTAATCCTAGATGGACCTGGCACCCAGACCACTTCATTAAGCTGAAGTGGTCTGGGTGCCTATAGTTGTCCTTTAAGTGCCTTACTAATAACAATTTATGCAAGTAAAATGTAATTTAGAACAAGCACAATGTATCATTTAATGTAGTTTAAAGACACATTACTGGGAGTATTATTGCTGCGGAGTTTTGTTATCCACTCAGACACATCAACAATATGAAGCTCCTAGAAAAGAGGGACAGAGGGATTTGGGTTCAAAATGATAACTGAAAGTATTCAGACAGGACCTCTAATAGCTGCATGGCTGTAAGCCACTAGAGGCATAATTTCTCTGAAATAATGTTTTAGATTGCCACAGATAAAAAAGGTTCGGTGCTTAGTGTCTCTTTAAACAGGCACGTGAAACACCGTAACGATGTATACACTATTAGGTTGGGCTGCAGTTCTATCCATGAACATCCCATCCCCATACTTCATATGTGGTGTTCAATAGAGCTTAGAATGCTATGCCTTGTGGGATCGGTCACTTGTCGTTAGAAACAGGGACTGCGGCATGTGTGCAGGCCATATTGCAGATTTCAGAAACAGTCTTAATTTTATTGTGTGCTTAATAAATACATTTTCTGTAAATTCACTAAACAAACTCAATGTATATTACAAATCACTCACTGGAGGTGAAAGTTTTGATGACAGTGAAGCAAAGGTTTATTTTAATCAGTTCTGTCACAATTATACATTTTTATTTCTTTATTTATTTTTTGTCCCCCCTCCCCAATTCCTTAAATCTTCAGTGTTTCAAATCAGTGTTAATTTCTCCATATTCACCAGCATTGTACCTCTTATTTAATTTTTTTTTACATTTTTCATTTATAGCTTGTTCCATGTCAAAACAGTGCATATCATAGGTGATTAGCACAGTGAAAAGGTAGAATGAATGAAACACAAGATTTAGTCATTCAGAAAGCAACGGTAACATACAAACATATATAAAATAATTGAGATAATGGTAATATGGGCTCAGTGTGTTCAGGAAGCACTAGTAGAGCCTTGTGGGAAATTCCTGGGGGCGGTAAGTGTGGCATTTGCCCACGTATCTTACATTTTTCAATCTTCGCAGTGCCGGATCCTCATTCTTGGCACTGCCATCTACTAGTTTCTGGCAGTGACGCAAGGTCTTGCCCACAGTATGCAACGGCGGAGCACTTTGGAGATGCCCATGGCTGCTAATGCCCCGTGAGTCGTGAGTAATGAAACGGGGCAAGCGTGGTGCTTGAAATTCTCACCAGGGAACGGATGAGAGACCGGATAGAGGTGAGCATTGTGGGTAAGTTAGATTGACAAAGGAATTGCAGCTTGCCCTAAGCTCCACCCTTTTTTCACAATCGTCAAGCGTAGGGAAAATACAGAGGACAAAGTAGTCCCTACTTCGTCTTATGTTTTAAAGAGAAATAGAGCAGAAATTAAGAAAAGAAGAACAGATTTGGAAAGAAGAAGAGAAGAGCGAACTATAGGAGAAAAGTTGGTGACAGACATTTTGAAAAAGAAAAGTTTAATGACACTTTAAGAAGTTACTGATAGGAGATTTAAAGTTACAAATTTTGATATACATATATTAATACATAAGGGTAGAGAGAGTTCTACTCTTAAATGATCTGCAGTGAGATCAAAACCAGATCAATTGTTTTTTTTTGTTTGTTTTTTACGTGCATGATACATCATGAATATGTTCACATAAGTCAGCTTTTATAATAATAGATCAACAATATTCAGCAAAGGTCAAACTTAGAGCAGGTTGCACATTTTTGGGTATTAAAGACATCAGGAACATAGATTTATCATGTCAGACAGGTAAAGAATGAAGGTCTTAGTATTGAACTATAGATAGGAGCAAGGGGTTCATACCACTGGGAACTCAAAATGTACTCAAACTGCTGCTGGTGGTCAATTAGGGTACAGAAACAATAGAAAAAATAAGCAAACAAGAAACATACCAGAACATTGGCATATACAGCATTGTGTACAGTGAGTTCTGTGATATAACCGCCAGGCTGCAGGTAAAGCTTGTGGGCCACTCAGCCAATGCCCAGAGATGGAAATTCCCAGCTCCTATCAATGAGGCTCCTCCACTGAGTCCAAGCATCCAGACGGTCCAGCTCAATCTTCTCCAGGATAACATCCCTGCCTTCGGCCAGAATTTGTAGCAGTCTCATGGCCCCGCACACCCAGCAACATGAGTTGTAAACTCCTTGATCCGGCAAGCTGTGTTGGGGTAAAAGAGGCCTATAATTTTGCAGGCGGGGTGAGTAGGTTCAGGTTTGGATATGCAATCTTCAAGAAGTGTGCTCCCGCCGCGGCAGTCTCTTATGCCTTCTTCTCCGTAACGCCAGCCTAGAGACTCGCTGGGGATGCCCTGACATTAGGCATCGGCCAGCAGGATGGCTTGGTGTACCGTGATCAGGCCTGTAGGAATGGAGGTTAGTCCTTAAGCCTAGACCCTATTCCAGAATTTCTTGCATATGCAATCAAACGTCATGAGGGTCCAGTTCACGTATGTGGAGTGGTATACATGGTTGTAGGCCCAGGAAGGGCAGCCATTTTGACTGCAAGGTCAGCACTGGTAAGCTTTATATGACCCCCCAAATACTCCAGTGCGGACTTGGATATCCCCCACTGATCCAAAGGGAGGGGGGGAACAGGGATCAAAGCCAGCGAGCTCCACTTCAAGGATGGGGATCGGCCGGCTCCCACTCCTCGAGCATGACTACAGGCCACAAGGGAGCTGATCAGTGGTGGTATCCACGGGATTCACGTAGAAAATTAGCAAGTTGTCGGCAGAGGGACTCAAGCAAGATTTTGTCCTAAAAAAAAAGAACAGTTAAGTCCAGTTTTTGGCTGTATATTAGGATATCCCTGAGGAGCTTTAGCACCATGCGGCTGTCTTGGTTGGCTGTCAGGCCCCGCCAACAAAAACAGATCAATTGTTTAAATGTCAGATAATACAAATACTTCAGTAACGAGTCATGAAGTATGATGTTGACTGCATGACTTCGTTCTCTATGACCTTTTATAAAGTTATTGCTGGTTTCTGGTAATGAGACACAACATCTACATTTAATGAATTATGGGCACAGAGGAAATCCTGAATAAGGAAATCATCAGTTTTTTGTTTGTTTTTTACTTGGTGAACCTCTACCAAGAAACGCACTCAGGACGATAAAATACTATACTAGTTAGCACACAGAGTATATTGAATGACACTTCATCCGAACAGTAAAAGCCCCAGTATCAAATGTCGTCTTCTGGGGCAGTAAATTAACTGAAAACATCTCTTTAAAAAAATTTTTTTTTAAAAACCCCAAACCAAAACTATTTTAAGAAATGCAGCATTTACTTAATAATAGATCTCCATGTCTGAAGAAGAATGTACATAATGGGATCCGTAGTGTGATGGATTTTCAGGGAAATTAGCTAATAATTAAAAAATCTGAATGTAAATGAGTTATCCTATTAAACTACTTGTTCATGGAAAACATTGTACACCTTAATACATGGTATCTGAGGGGAAAATATGATTTGCTAAGTCTGTGCCTCGGTATATCTTCTGATAACATGTATTTAAAAAAGTTTTTGCTGTTTTTAAGATATTTAACTAATTGCATTTAGTCATAATTGTTTTAATACAACGTCCCAGCATGCATTTCTTCTTGGTGGTATAGTACAGTTAATTCTTATTTACATATTGCCTCACTTGTCTTATTTTATCTCATGTATCCTACTTTCAGTGGAATATGTAAATGTACAGACCTGGGCCTTGGATGATCACCATAGTAACAGACTTTCCCTGTGTGACCTGACTTGACTGATGCCAGACATATGCCTAAATTCAGCCAACAGTCAAGTTATACCAAAGGGTTCATTCACTAAACAGAGTATAATGGTGTATTCCAAACAGAGTTCTAAAAATTGTCCTGCCACAATATAACGTGGAAAAAGAGCTGGGTTGGAGGCCTTTTCCATATGTATTTTGGCGAAAACATTTTGGCAATTTGTTTTAGTGAATAAATCGGTCATAAAACAGGCCGGGTTTGCATACTGTCAATTAAATGAAGGAAATAAAGTGGATAATTTTCAAGTGTTGGTCACGAATGCTAAAATGTTTGTTTTGGTTTTCTCAGTGCAAAGTTAGCATAAAGCTGACATGTGACATGCAAAAATAAAAACAAACACCTACTTGTGCAACCATCAGGAATGCAAAATCAGACAAGGAAATGCTAGTGTAAAAGACAATAACTCGGTCTGATTACAATGGGTGACGCGCTAGCCCACTAACATACTTCCCAGGTGCCCCTATTCAGGAGACAGGGTCCCTATGTTGTGTCCAATTCCCTCTGTCTCTCCTTTCTACCCTAATGGCCATCCTCTGTGCTGGAATAAGGTGAGTATTTTATGTCACACTGGGGGCAGGAATAATTTACTTTGGGATTCACTTACGTTTGCTTTTTTTCCTTTAAGATGTGACATTTGATCCACTAACTTGCACTAAAAAAAATGAAATGTAAGCATTTTATCATAATCGCTTGACACTGTTATATTATTCACTTTGGTTTTTATTTTTGGTGCATCACAAGAGGAAGTGCACATGAATGTGTCGTTTTTTTTTATTAATGATTGTAACTTTATACTATGTTAAGTGCCTAAATTAAAGTAAAAGCACTCTTACCGTGCATTGCCTGGCAAATCCACCACAAATATCTGCAAGCCAGACGACAAGCGCCCTCCAAAACGAGAGATAAGTACCAGAAAAAAAAAAATCTTCATTCAGCCATTAACAATGGGGAACAGATGGGGATATCTGTGAACATCGTTTAGTATTTATTCCTATTACTTACTGTACCTAAAAATAAGAATTAACATGATCTGAAATGTCTCTGGCTATTACCCTGTCTGTTTTTTGTTTTTTTTCCATTGATGAATAAAGTTTTTCATGTACCTCTCTGCAGCAATGTTTATGGTTAGTTTGTAGCCCACCATGTATATATATATATATATTGCAAAACATGTTACTTTACCCTCTATATGTGCAATAGTCTTTATTGGTGCTAAAAGGACAATTCATTCTCACCCTCTGATGGTTTTCTGGTAAATCGGATGCAAAAATGAAGATGATAATGTTCAAGGTACAAATTGCCAAACCATTTCCTGTCCAATAATGGGAATATTGGGCAATCTGCAAGACCTCTGTTTTTATGTAACAGTAAAGGATGAGCTTCCTATGTCCTTGCACAGGACTTGTGCATCTTAACAAAGTAATAATACATGTTCTGGTAAGTCGCAGAGACCCTGGACGTAGACTGGCTTTGCGTCCTGAGTGTTTATTAATCATAAAACTCAAAGAGGATTGGACACTCTGTGCCCTAATTACATTGTTTGCAGTGCACACAGAGATAAATGATCTCTTTTAGCAAACTGCATCAAACATGTCTGTTGTGGCATGCCGCCTCTTGCAGACCTCAGCACAGCATTGTAGGGTCAGTGGTGTTTGTAATACCACATACAGATTTAGGAGAATCTGGGAATGATTAGGAACCAAAAAGATAGCTAGTCATGTCTATCCATGTTAGTATAATTCAGTGATTGTGTTGTTTAGTGATGGTGGTGTCTATCTCTGGTACTAGTGTCTGGCCATTGTAGCATTGCTTAGCCATGGTAATGTTTTGTAGACAAGGTAGTGTTGTTCGTTTAGCTGTGATATTAGTATTTAGTCACTGCAATATTTTTTAGCTGTGGCAACATTAAATAGCCCTGGTAGTGTTTGCAGGTCATGCTAGTATTATTTAGTCATGGTAAACTGTTATTTAGTAGCGCTGGTGGTTTTAGCTGCGGCAGTATTGTCTAGCTGGTTTTTTGTTGGAGTAGTGTTGTTTAGCCACTGTTTTTTTTTCTTTAGCTTTAATACTATTGCCTATCTTTGATAGCAATATCAAGCTGTGGTCATATTGTAGACCATAGTAGTACTGATTTGGTAATCATAGTAATTTTTTTTTAATATATATATTTTTGTAGCCACAGAAATTATGTCTGGCACTGGTAGTACTGTCTATTGTTTTGGTAAGGTAGCAATATTTAGACAAATCAATATTGTCTAGTCTGGGTAGCATTGTCTGTCTGTGGTAGTATTGTTGTATTTTGGTATGGTAGCAAAGTTTAGCCATATCAATATTGTTTTGCCTAGGTAGCATTGTCTGTCTGTAGTAGTATTGTTGTGTTTTGGTATGGTAGCAATATTTAGCCATATACATATTGTTTTGCAATGTTTAGCCATATAAATATTGTTTTGCAATGTTTAGCCATATCAATATTGTTTTGCCTGGGTAGCATTGTATGTCTGTGGTAGTATTGTTTTGTTTTGGTATGGTAGCAATGTTTAGCCATATAAATATTGTTTTGCAATGTTTAGACATATAAATATTATTTTGCCTGTGTAGCATTGTCTGTCTGTGGTAGCATTGTTGTCTCTGACACCAAGGTACAGCTCTGTCCCCTCTGCCATCTTGTGAGGGTCTCATTAATCAATAAGTACCTACTTGTAGGGTATCTGTCTGTCGGAAGCATACCTTGGGGGATGAAGAACAGATTGAAAGGGGCAGGAAAAAGGTGGACGTATTAGATAATCCTCTTACCCCATCCTTGCACACTGGAATATTTGACAACACTTTCAAAGTGGCATTACAGCAAAATATGAATGATGCCAGTTTGTACACATATTCATGCAAATTTTATCTACATTGATAGACAAATAGAAATTTTCCGTGTCACCTATTTTGGCCACTCCCTCGTTTCACTTCATTGTTACATAATATTTTAAGCTGACAAAAAACTATAGTCTATCAAGTTCAACCTTGAAACTCAATATTTAATGCTGTTGATTTAAAAGAATCCAAAAACAAATTTGTAGCCATTTCCAATTATGCCACAAAAAGGGAAAGAAATCCTTCTTGACTCCATAATGGCAACCAAATTGGCATTTACTATTCTTCATAAGTGGGCGATAGCCCTTCCCCCCTCCCCATGTTTCTTGATATTGAAACTATATAAGGATAGTAGTGCATCAAAGTATCACCCTGCATAACATCTCATATCTCACCTGGGCCCCTGTTCTACAGGTGTCTTCTATAAAAATCTGCACAATTAATACTGTATGTGCATATTCAGCTCCAGACAGTGTACATGTAAAATATCTCTGGGCATACTAGGAGTATGAGTTAATCAGTTACTGCTCTCATTAAGTAACACTCTCCATGGGATTGTATTCTTGCAGCTATTAATATTTCGTAGATTTTTTGTTTGTACAGTAGCTTTGTGAATAGTCAGTGTTTAATTTTTGGTTAACATGTAGCTCACCAACTCTTTTAAACTGCAACTCTTATGATCCTTGGCCCACATTTGGCTGAGGGCAGATTGGGTGACCCAGTCACAAATTCCCGTATCCCACAACTAAACACACATCCCAACCCAAAACAGGGATCATTGAGTTCAGACCAGTGTTGGTTCATCGTGTTGGCTTTGTGGAAGTAGATGTTGGTTAATAATTTCAGAAGTCACAGATACAGATCATTCAGAATGGTCCCCGTTCCTCTGTAATTTAATGACTGCAGGACAATTGCATGATATTAAGATATTGCAGTACAGAAGTTAGAACATGATTTGTAGTTCACAAGCATTTGAGGGTGTTAATGTGTATAGGCCATTGCTTTAGTGTACCTCTCATTCAGTAATCTCTACGAAATGTAACAATTAGGGTAAAGACTCTTTTTAGAACACCATCCGAAATAATGCTATACTTATAAGAATTATATTAGAATTAAACATTTACAGTCACTATGGTTGCTCACTTTTCATTTTTACTGCAAAATATTAATTAAAATTTCAGTATTTCTGTTTTGCCACACGCAGACAACTTTCTCAATTATTTTTTTTCTTGAGGCACATGGTATCAATAATGAATTTAACTTAATTTCTCCAAAACAAAAAAATATTGATTTATGCTCTTTATTTTTCTATTTCCAATAATCTGTGTTTAATTAAGCATTGCTTTGTAAGCACATCATAATTAATACCTGCTGGAATTTTATGTATTGAAAAATAAACGGTTTTAAAAAAACAGAATATTTGTATGGTCACCCCCCAAACAATAAAACACAGGACAACAAAGCATTACTTTTCAGATACTTTATAATCTTTATTTTGTTGAAAATAAAAATAGTGATATGCGACTTTTCAAAATTATAATTAATAAAAAATATGTAAATAGAGACTTTTATTCTCATTAACATTTTAATACTTTATATAAACTCTTGTCAAACAGAATTAAGCATAGTGACTTTTTTTTCTGCTTTTTTGGGGGACATTTATTTTTCATTTTTTCCCTGTTGTATTGTGTGATGGCATTTCTGACCCCAATGGATTAAAAGACAGACCTTATGAATGTTTTACAAAAAAAGGTTTGTTCTATTATAAAGCATTATTTAAAGTATTAGGAAATCACCCTAACCCATTAAAAGTCCCTTAAAGTGGATTAAGTGGACCCTGGTCTTGTGTTCTTTACTAATGCTGATAAGTAAGAAAGGCTAGGATTTCCCAACATTGTCAGAATTCTGATACTTTACAAATGTAAGAAAAATAAAATAAATGACAAGAAACATGTAAAGCTAGCTTTTTTTTTTGGCAAGAATATGAGCAACAGAAATGTGTAAGGCTATTGAAAATAAACAATAGTAATTAAAAAACAACTGCCTGGAGCACATCTGTACTGTAAAAATATAGCTATAAATTACCAAACATAATGCCCAGTGCAAAGACACTGAATGCATTATAGAATTATCTGCAAAAGCAGCTCCTTAATGTTCAGACATTAAAAATGCAGAGATTCTGACAGACAGCATGTGCCTTCTATCTTAAAATGCACTTATTGAATAGGCACCTGTGTGGGTTTAAAGGGACCTTCACATTCATAAATAGTTTGTTTAGGAGGCAGAAATGCCCTATGGCATTGTACTGATCATAATTGGTAGCTCACAATTTTTTGGAAAAAAACATTTATTCATCTGTGCTTTCAATCTTGTAAACAGTCTGTTTAACCCACTGTGTACCAGAGAGGAGTAACGTTTATTGCACAAGCCTCTGGCACCCAGGGGTTAAACATACTGGCACAACTACCACAGCATTGATCTGTGGGACAGGTAGATACCAACACATCAACCCATCTCTTACTGGGCAAGGCACTTTATGCTGTGTAAGGCACGTCATGGTTCAGTCTGTGTACAAACCCTCTATTGCTTTTGAAAGTAGATTTTAAAAAGTTTACATAGATCAATTTGGCTTAGCCCACTGCCCCCCTCCAGACTGGGATCTGCAATATCAAATAGCAAAGCTCCCACAATAGAAGGGCAGTGTACAACTGGTCTCACAAAGACCCCCACTGAAATGGTATACATATCTGGGAATACAGAGGGTTGAAGTCATCCCATCAGTTATTATAGTAAGCATTTGTTTACAGAGTACAATAAAAATATAAAGGACAAGATCGAATGGCATAACTCTAAAAACAGTATAAACTCTCGTGAACAAAGGAACTTTAGGTGAGTTATCAATCCTGTCTCATTTTAGCACCACCTTTTAAAAAACAAACATAAGAGCTGCCTAGTTATAAAGCACTCAGATCCTGCAGGTGGATCTTACTTTAGGCACCTGCACACTTTCTAATCTCAGCAAAGTCTGTGGGTGGGGGGGAGAGGGGGCTTGAGGTCCAAACTTTTTGACAGAAAGAAAAAGAGAGTCCTCGTTTTCGGAAAGCATCCATGTATTCTTTTTCAAACAAATAAGTGTCTCTGTCACCTGTCAAGAGTCTTAGATCCAACAGTAGATTTACAGGACTTGTCCATGGCATTACGCACAGTTGCCCATAACTTTGACCAAAGAGCTCTCTGGAAGTTGCCTGAAGATGCCCCTCAGGGTCTCTAGCTCCCGGTTCAGTTGATCCACTCTCTTCCTCAGCTTGTCATTATCTGCTGACAGCTCCAGGACCTTCTGCTGGGTCTCAGCATTGCGCATTTTGGCTTTGTCCCTGCTCTTCCTCACCGCTATATTGTTCCTTTCCCTCCTCACCCTGTACTCACTACTGTTCTTGTCCACCCATTTCTTGGACTTTCCCCTGCCCTCTGAGGAGGACGAGGAGGATGAAGAAGAAGACATATCTTTCATGGAGGACGACTGCAGGCTGTGGTGGTGGTGGTGAGGATGTATTGGGTGGTGGTGAGGACTTGGCACAGGTGTGGGTGGTGGAGTTGGGTGGCCAGGCTGCAGATGCATGGTGGTCTGGGCACAGTGGGCTACCTGGTACTGCAGGTGGGATGGTTGCTGCTGCGGATGGTGGGAGTAGAGAGCAGCCAGTGAAGCTCTGCTGGGTTCCTCATCCTCTCTTGGCTCCTGCTTGATGACAAGCGGTCTTAAGCCAGTGTCCATCTTGTTGTCCATGTAGTTGGCCATGCAGCCATACATTTGGGGGTGCCCTGCAGCAGTGAGTCCCCCAGGTCCCTGGTGATAGTCTAGCCCTGCCTTGGCTCTCTCCTGCTTGTTATTGTGGAAGAGGTCAGCCAGGAACTCGTCGTTGAAGGCTGCTGGGTCAATGTAGGCACTGATGTCTATGGAGGTCTCGTTCTCACACAGGTCCTGGAGCTCTCCGGCGGTCGGGGGCTCCCTGTAGCCGTATGCACCGTGCTGATTGTGGGCTGGAGGATGCATGGATGGCCGGGAATCGACCTCGTAGAAGTTGGCTAGCTCCATGGAGCTCCTATAGCCAGCCAAGCATGGTGAGGAGCTCCGGGAATCCAGGGTGAGCTCAGACTGCACGTGTGATACAATGTAACCAGCACAGTTCTTCCTGATCAATGCCTGGAGATCTACTCAGACAGGCTCTATATATATAGACAGGCAGAGAGGGAACACTGCGCCCCTGGCGCATAACCGCGGTACTGCGCCTCGACCCATCACTGCTAAGCAGGTATGTACCCAAACCTTAGAGTGGTTGCGATGCCCTGTGCCACCCTTTCCCTAACACATACCTCATTTACCACCTCTGCTGCAGTGTATGGGCGTGTTATCAGGATTCTGGATTGTATTTGAAACATGTCAATTCTGTATATAATGAATGCAGCAAGTTTTAAGTGTAATCACATCAGCTCTGCAAGTCATTAATCACAATGACTGTACTGCCTTACTGTACTGCTATACTTCGTAAAAATGCTATGCTGAAAAACGTCAGAAAAAATGTGTTTTGCAATCTCAGCGTTCTCCAATCATGGCTGTATTGCACATTTATTATTTTATCTAAAAAAATGTTTTTTTTTATTATTATGATTGGTATAGGATAGAGGATTAATGCCAATTAAGATTATGTAAAATACATGTATGTCTCTAATGAGTTTACTTAATAAACACTTGAGATTATCTCTCTCCTCTCCCCCCCCCACCCCCTTAGTTTTGAGATTGTGTTCTAAACCCTTACAATTCCATAGTCAGTTTTCTACAGTAACTCTGTAAAATTCTACAGCCTTAGTGTCTATTTACCAAACAGAGCTTTGAGAACCATGTTATAAAATTTAAAGCCACATTAGGAGAAGTTTGAAATTATATGTAACTTGTTTACATTTCTTGACCACCTATTTCCTCCTTAATTTTCAAATTAGTTTTTTTAAATTCTCTGTTTAGTAAATGCCAGCCCCCCTGCTAGTTTGGTTTTCTTATTTAATTTACTTGGATTACAATTCTGTCAGTAAACATGTTACTAATTAATCATTGTAATAATCCACCAGCGACATTTAGATTAAACCATTGATTAGCATTTGAAAATCATTAATGTAAATAGAAGGGTAGTGTTTGAGGGATGTATGGTTAGAATTTTGTGTTTAATTTCTGATCTTTTGTAAACCTTATTTATTTAAGGCATTTAATAGTCTATGAATTCCATTAAAAATTCACTTGCAAGATAATCAACCTCTCCCTCCCATTTTAAAATAAAGTTCTGGCAACGTTGTCAGAAATAGTCCCCAGAGGATATTTTTACAGCATTCTTGATAATTCAGCTCTTAGTTAAAGGAAGACTGTTATGATATGTATTATTATTTTAAAAATACTTTATTGGTATTCCTAGTAATACTAAACACTGTTAATTTTGTGGCCTCTTTATGTATTATTTTGTAAAGCTGACATGTAAGTAAACAACTTTTTTTTTTAAGTGCATATTTATTAATATTTAAGTACATTGCTTTATTAGGGCAGCCATATTTGTTGCAGGTAATTGAGAATCTAGTGTGCGTTCACGATTCCTGATATCTTGCACAAGCACTAGGCAACTAAAAAATATATTCTAGAACAATTGTGTATGGCCTTTGGCTTTGCTGATAAGCTATGCTTCTAACCACAAAGTGCTTAAAATGGCCACCTCTGTGAAGCAAGGATATTCACAGAAAAAAAAGTATTAACTTATATCCGGTTATTACAAAATAATACACCACAAGGCTATATTACTTGTAATCTTATATTTTCAGTAATAAAAAAATCATGACCGTTTTCCTTTAAACTGCCCACATTCAGAACAAATGTTTTAAGCTATCCTGAAAAAGTATTGAATAAACTAAGATTTGTGAAGAATTGAAAAGGTAATCGAAAAGCTGCAAAAAATTCTACAACTCCACTATTTTACCAGTTTAGCTATTTTTCTCTGAAATGCGAATTTCTCCTATTTCTGCAATTCCCTGTTTAGTAAATAACTCTTTATTTGTTTATTTTTTTTATGTTGATCTCTGATTTTCTCAGTGTTTTTTTTTTTTTTTTTTAAATGCCATCGTAACACTTTTCTTTCATTTTGCTGGAGCACGTTTTAATAGGAATACAATGAAAACAGGCAATGTTTATTTACCATTTACATATATATGCAATGAATGCTTTTCGTTTGCCTTGACTATTAAATTAGCCATTAATTTACTCTTGGCAGTGTAGTCATCTTTTGTTTCTGTGAGTTACACACCCAATTGATGAAAAGATAGCTTTGAATAAATATGAAGAGACCTGGATGCACAGACACACTCTCTGCAGCCTAAGGCAGAGGGTGTCTTCTGAAAGGAATGCACTTATTTCTTGATCTGCCAAAAACATTGTTTTTTAAAAATTTTTTTTTATATTTAGAGATTGACTTCATATCAGCTATGGTTATATGAAGCAAGCAGATGTATTGAAAATGTAGTCCCCAATATAGGTCCTCGAAATTCTGGATCCTCTGTAGGGTATAGGGGACCATGTCGTGGCCTGCCGGATGGCTTCTTAAGGGCATTGATCCGCTAACGACTGCCGATTTGGGGTTAACTACACTTCACTAATTAGAAATATTATACGTGTCTTCGAAAACTGGAACAACCGCACCATTTCTTGGATAGGTTGCATACATACTACAAAACCAATGTCCTACCTAGGATTTACTTCATATTCCAGGCTCATCCGGTGAAGGTTACCAGATATGATTTAGCTAATCTCCAAAGGTCTTGCAAGGGAAACACAGAGTAACTAGAAACATTTTATATAGACTTAGACTGTGTATGTATGTATACGTGTGTATATATATATTTGTGTTCGGTGCTATTCTTGTAACGTAACGTATATATCGTATGGTGTAACCATAGGTATGAACAAGTCAGTTGAAGTGTGCCGAAACCGACGTATGCGGTAGGCCTGTAATAAAGAGGGCCCATCCTAGATATAACAAAATAAATTAAATTGAGTTGAGGGAGTGGTGGGTGGGGCCTGCCGAAGTCAAAACTAAACGGTGATGCAGAGAAGGGGGGGGGGAGTTTAAATAGGATCACCACGCCCCTCCCACAACTACAGGCAAGCCTTTACATTTGTGTTCGGTGCTATTCTTGTAACGTAACGTATATATCGTATGGTGTAACCATAGGTATGAACAAGTCAGTCATACGTAATGGATAGTATCTGAAAAGGAAAAGTTGGTTGTGGTGTGCCGAAACCAACGGACGAGTGGGCCTGTAAATAAGAGGGCCCACCAAGGAAAATGTAATGCTAACAGGGTGTAGGTGGGTTAGGACAATCAACTGGATCGGCAGAGGTGAGTAGGGGCTGGGAGTTTAAGTAGGGGACTTACTCCTCCCACAAATTCAGGCCTAATGGCCTTTTTACTTGTGCTCGGAATTTAATACGTAATGGATAGTATCTGAAAAGGCAGAGTTGGTTGTGGTGTGCCGAAACCAACGTACGAGTGGGCCTGTAAATAAAAGAGGGCAAAAGAGAAGTTCGAGAAAATACACACTTTATGGCATTTTTACATAACCAAGTTCCTGAAAGCTTGACGAAGCTCTCTCTCTGGACGTGGTTTATATGTATGGTATATGGAGGATTTCCAATGACCCAGTCTCTTGATGATGTGGACCGGGGTGTTTGTGCTAGAGGCCCATGAAGCGGCTCCTATGCGGAAGGAGTGCCCTGAGAATGAAGCCGGATTGTAACCCAGTTTGGATAGTAGTGTTCTGACGTGTGCCGCCAAGTTGTCAGAATAGCATTTTATTGCCTTGCCGGACCAGAGATGACCCCAGGTGTGTGCGGCCACCACAATGGGATCAATTTCGAATAGGGCTGAGGTCTCCCTGAATCCTGGCAAGGCATCCGTCTCAGCGGGCCAGTGACCCCTGAACCAGTGGTTCCCGAAGATGGCTGCGAAACCAGTGTTGGCTGCAGCGTCCATGTGAATGATGGGTGAAGAAATGGAGAGAGGGGGGATAAACATGGAGATACCGTTCCAATTAGCCAAAAAGTCAGCCTTGGCATGGGGGTCCAATGAAACTGGGCAGGAGTCCGGCACCCCGTGAAGCAGGCAGAGAAGCCTGGATATAAAAGACCTTCCCTGCGGAATGATGCGCATGGCGAAGTTAAGGGATCCAAGAAGGGACTGAAGTTTCCTTCTGGTGCATACATCATTCCGCAGGAACATGTCTATTTCCCCTCTCAAGCAGATCAGTTTGTCGTGGGGAAGGCTAGCTCGGAGGGTAACAGAGTCCAGCTCTATCCCCAAAAAGGTTAGTTTAGTTGTGGAGCCGATAGTTTTTGATGGGGTTAATGGTACACCAAGTGTGGAAAAAAGTGCTGAAGTACTGCTGATAGCGGTGGGTGTTTGTGTCCCTGGCTCTATCAGTAAGAAGTCGTCTAAGTAGTGGATGACAGAGTGACACCTGAGGAAGTTCAGAAGCAGCCAGCATAGAGTCTCGGCGAAGATATCGAACAGTTTTGGGCTGCTTCGAGAACCGAAAATGAGTCGTGTGGAAAAGTAGTATTTTTATTGCCATTTAACACCGTGCAAGTGCCAGAGTGAGGGGTGCATGGGTAGTAATTTGAATGGGTTTGTGATGTCCGTTTTGCTGAGCCAGGGGCCACTACCAGTTGAGATAATGGATTGTATGGCGTCATCAATTGTTACGTACTGAAGTGAGAATTCATCTGCGGGTATGAGTGTGTTAATGCTGGGAACAAAAAAGGAGTGCGGTGCCGTTAAATCAATAATTAGCCGTTTTTTATTAGTATACTTGTGTACTGCGACACCAATAGGGTTAGTGCGCCAGGAGGAAAACGGTGAGGAGGTCAAGGGGCCGATCATGAAACCATTGGAAACTTCGGAGGAAAGGAGAGTGTCTGTGGAAACTGGATCTTGGCATATAGATTGGGACACTCCAGTGTGCCTGAGGGGATGGCTACGATACCTGTGGAAAAAACCCTGTGTGAACCCAGTGGTCAAATATTCCACCAGATGCCTGCTAGGGTGTGTACTTAGGTAAAAAAACAGGTTGTCGACATTGATGTTGGTTAGTCATTTGTTAGGGGACAACCTGGCCGGGCACATGGTCTTGGTATGTGCCCTAAAGCATATGGAACAGATGTGCAACAGTCTACAGGCGCTGAAACTGCAGGAGCCTGCGTTGAAATTATTGCACACCTGAGCTTTACCTAGAAAGGAGATGGGCCTACCCAGCTTATCACGTTGACCACCCGCTGATTTGCTGTGAGGGGTA